TAATTAGACAAGATAGAATCAATTGATCGGGTCAGGTAAACAACACAAAGGAGCACTGCTGCATGTGAGAGCTGCTCACATGAGGGAGGCACTGAAACTGCAGACTGACTCAGGCTCTTACCGGACAAGATTCACAGCAGATACATATCTCTGCTGGTAGCTGGCACTGAATTAACACAAAAAAACAACCAACCAACCAGAACCACCAGTTACAGTCATATTTTCAAGGTGAGGAACTTAATCAGATTCAGCATTGCAGTTCGGCTTTATGGATTTCGATCAGCACTCCAGTCTGCGCTGCCTGAGTGCAGATGAGCTCTGGTTCTCTCACAAGAGTAGAGAATGCACTCTAGCACCAGGCACATCAGTTCTGCCTGTGGCACAGCACCTCCCTGTATCAGTGCATTACAGGGTTTTGTTTAGGAATGGACAGAAACCCTTTTCCTGCTGGAGACAATTACTTTATTCCTATTTCACACCATGCCCATTGGTCTGAGCTAGTCAAACACCTCCTTTCCTTTGCACAAACAGCTATCAGAGATCAATGACACTGCCCTTGTTTTAGCCTCCCAAAGCAGTTACACCTGACAAAGGGGAACGGCAGTGCTCTGGGCAGCAGTGGCCCTGCCAGCAGACAGCTAAGGACACAGTGGGGATGTGATGCGAGGTCAGCTAAGGAAGCCTGCCTTTGTAATCAGAAGAGGAAACTGGGTACCATTCACTCAAAGCGAGCGATACAGCAATTTATTTGGGAATCCAAAGAGATGTCAATCACCTTGAGCCCAGTGCACTACCACTTCATTTCTTTTAGCCTGAATTCAGCCCCTGAGAAAGGCATCGCCTCTCTAACAGCACACACAGCTGCTCTGCTGCAGTACTTTACTCCCAGCAGCTGGACAAGGATAGATGACCACTGTGAAGCTGGGTTTTGGTAGATCCTGCAGATGGAGGGTCTGCATCTCGAGACAGCAAGGGGCTGCCACCTGGTCACACAGCACCTGTGCGACTTTGCCACTCATTTACAGATCCTTTTTAATGCACACAAACAGAAAAAAATGAATTGTTTTGCAACAAAAATTCCTCTAGCTGATTACAGGAAGGACTGAGGCACCACGAACTGAGGTCCCTGCTGGTGTCAGTGGCTTTGCTGCAGTGCTGTTCAGTCAGTGGGTGCAGAGCAGAATGTAAGCCCCAGCACCTGAGGTAGGAAGAACCACAGCCCTCCTGCCTCTTTCCCTGGGAACAGATGACACAGCAGACATGATATAAATCCCAAATTAATTTCATAGTTATTTTCCATCTCTAATCCTACAAGCAGCAAATACAACTGCCAGATGAGCTGTATGAACTTGTGAGCCGAGTGCATTTCTTATGCACAGCAAACGCTCCTCTGGCACAACTCAAGCCATGCACGGTTATCACAGCACCTTCCTCCACCCAATACCTTTCCAAACACCATGCTGAGCAGCACACAGCAGCATGGATCACAGCGTGTCCCACTCCACAGACTTCAAAGGATTCTGCTCTTTGCCCCTCACAAGGTCTGGGCAGCTCAAATCTGACCAGTATTTTCTAAGTACGTTGGTGTTCAATCAGCACTTGGCTCTGCTCTTGGTAGGAAGCTCTGCCAGCCGGGCCCTGCAGCGACCCTGGTCTGTCAGCTGCAGCTCCACGCTTGCAAGCTGCTTGCTTTGGCTGTCCTGGTGTCACCCAGTGAGCCGATCGCCTGGATATGGTGTCACACCAAATATGCAATGGGAAATAACCCCTGAAACTGGAAAGTGTTCAGGTACCATAGCGACAGGCACAGTCTGAGAACACAGAAGAGAAAACAGTCTTGCTTAAGGGCTTCAATTAGCTCCCAAGTAAGATGATTACAACATTTCCTAGGGGGCAACGAACCCTTCAAAGAGAATTAAATTAAAACACCCAGCTGTGCCGAGTTCTGGCCACGAACTGTCTGCAGCCCACTGCCCTGCGTTCCACTCCTCGGCACTGGCAGCGCCTTCTCCAGCACTGTGGCACAGCTGCTGCTGTCGGGGTTGGTGCCAGACCCACGCTGCTCCATGCCAGGGCTGCCCAGGGCACTCAGACATACTTTCCCCAGGCAGACATCCACATTTCCATCCCACTGCACTTCTCCATGTCACACGAAACACCCAGGAAGCTGCCAGTAGCCCAGCGGTGCCGCCACTGAGTTCTGCAGGAGGTCAGTGGGTGACAACCACATGCAAGGACTGAAGCACACGGCATCACGACGCACAGGGGACGATCCCCTCACCCAAAGGCCACAGAGCTGGGCTGCAGCAGCCCACGCTGCCTGGAGCCAAATCACCATTTAAAAGGATTATTAACTTCCAGCTGCGTTCAGCCTGATTTCCTTTGTGCAACAATGTGCCTAATTGCAGAGATTCTAATTTACTCTCTTAGAGCACAGGCCTGGCTCTAAGGATAAATTAGAATGACAGCTCCACGGGAAGTTTGGAATTCAACTTTGTGACTTATCTGATTTGATGCAGATACAAATATTCAAATCCAGCCAAGGAGACAAGCACCTCATTTGTAAGAAGTTCCAGCTGGAAGAGGGAAAAAGGATTTTGCAGGCAGAGTGGCTGCAGCAAGCAGTTCTGCCATGCTCCTTGTGGCAGATCAGCACAGCAGCACCTCGGGGCCATGCACTGCACTCCTCCCGTGCAAGGCTCATTTCGTTGGGTTTTTTTTCCCTTCCACAAGAAACTACTTTGCCATGCTGAAAGAAGGAGTGTTGAATTTTAGAGCTCTTCTGTATTCCCACGTTCTCTTTGCAAGGCAGAGGCAGCACCCAGCAGCACCCAGCAAGCAGAGAGCTGGAACACAGAGGTGCAGGCAGTCCTTCGGCCAGCCCCATGCTCCCACCTGCTGATCGAGATGAGCCGCACCGATGCTCTGAGGGCAGCATCTGCGGGGGCTCACCCTGGCCCCATCTGCAGCCTGAACTCCGTGCATTTTGGCCTGGTGAAACAGAACGGAGCTAAATCCAAGCCAAATTCAAAGAAAAAAAAAAAAAAAAAAAAAAAAAGCCATATTTTTTTTCAAGTCAGAAAATTCAAATCGGGTTCCCAGCAATCCGATTTTCAGGCAAACAGCCGCAGCACTCGCATCTGCAGCCTTCAGCAGCACCCTGCCGAGCGCAGCGCGGCTCCGGGCACTCCGCCCCAGCCCGCACGGGGCCGCCGCCAGCACGGCGCTCCCAGCAGCGCGACGCAGCGCAGCCGTGCCCAAAGGCACCGCGGGCAGCGCGCCAGGCCTCCGCCGCGCCACGTGCTCGCTGCACACGTGGCCGAGGACGCGGCCGGGAGCTCCCGGCAGGAAGGAGGCCGGGCCGCGCGGGGTCACCGTGACCTTCGCCACGGCTGCCGCGCTCCGCCGCCCACCTCCCCGGCGCGGCCCTGCAGCCGGTCCCGGTGCGGCTGCAGCACGGCCCACGGCCCCCGTCCACCCAGCGCTGCCTGCTCGTACAGCCTCCAACTCGATGCGTTTCCCAGTGGTCTGGTGAGGGGAGAAAGAGCCGGCCATCCCCACCGAATCCTCACAGTGAATTGCGAGCTGCCCCCCAGAAGCACAGAATACAAGTTCTGCCAGAGAACAACGCGCTGGCAGACAAACCATCAGAATACTCCATCAGTATTCATAGCGCGCCGCGAGCCAGGTGCGAGCTGCTCGGGACACCGGGACTCCGGACTCGGCTCCTGGTGCACAGCAGTGATGTGATCACTGCCTGCCCCAGTGCTAACAGAAGCCCAGCTCCATACTGACACCAGTCTGAAGCCCAATGAAATGCTCCAATTTCTTCTGGTGCCCGTTAACTACAACACAACCACAACTCCACAAGAGACCTTTTGAAGCAACACGCATCTTTTCCTTTTTCACTTGCCCCTCCCTAGTGGCTGGGCACCATTACATCTTGTCTGGTTTCCGGGTCCCAACCAAAGGCTCTGCAAGGGATGTCACTGGTCAAGGCTCACAGGAGAGCCGAGCTGGTCTAATTCTGAAAGGTAAGAAAATGCAGTGCTGACAGGGAATGTCCAGTACTTCTGAACAGCAGAGTAACACAGTACTACAGAGACACTGAGAAATACAGAAAGAAAAGAAGGAAACTGATGACGCATGAAAAGCTCAGCACTCTTTATCCCAGCCAAAACACATGAGGTCTATTGGTTCTCCTCACTTGTAAGATGGTGCTATGAATTTGGCTTCCATTTTCTATACAAATTTTACTTGCGCTACAAGCTCTTGATATCACCACCACAGAGGACACTTCTTAAGAACCACTTCTGTGTTTCAATTAACCACTTTTTACAAACATCAGGTGTGCAAAACACCTCAGCATAAGAACAACTCACAGTGTCAGTTGACAAAACTGCTAACAGTGTCAAACATGACAAGGGTAAGCAATCAGTGATGCTTATTTCACTCCACCTGCAATCACCACAATACAAGTTGATCTTTACTTTTTTCCCAGACTGTTTCTTGGTATCCCTGCACATCCTGACCTGACATGATCTGCACATCTTCTCATCAAAACGTTCAGAAATTCAAGTCCTACCCATCTTGGTTAAGCAAACTAAAACCTCCCCAAAACATATGAATTAAAATTCATCTTAGTCCAAAAAGCAGTACCATATCATGCATTTATTTAGGCAGGATGCCCTTTTTTCGGACCATTTGGGTTATCTGTTGCACACATATGAAACTGCCTGAAGTCCATCACCATCACTGGTACGAATGGCTTACAGTTACCTAAGGAATTCCTGGGGTAAGGACGCTGCACGAGGCAAGCTCTCCTAGAAGATCTAAAAGGCCTGGAAATCTGGAGCTCAGAAGTGACCATACTCAACAGGGCTTTCTTCCTTTTCAATCCAGAGCAAAATTTTACTTGGTTTAAGAGAGCTGGCACTGTTCCCTGTTCCAGCACACAGCGCCGTGCAATGCCACCAGCAGGGACCCGACCGCCACCGTACCTGGATGTATCGCAAGGCACTCCTGAGGACGCTGAGGTTTGAGGTCTTCTTGTCGTCTACGTTGGGGATGTTGCGTTTTAATGTCTCAAAGCATTCTTTCAAATGTGCACGTCTAAAGAAAACACAGGTGGTTTGTCAGCTTGTGTTAGCGGCACACCACAAATCAATTTAGCAGAGGGCTGAAGCTTAATTTGGGCCTTAATCCAGCAAAGCATGTGCACATGTGCATAGCAGTCACTGGGACTACCTGCATGCTTCAAACCAAGCCATCCCAATCCAGCAGGCAGACTGCTTTACAGCTCCGATTCCAGCCCTACGCTGGTAGGAACCTGCTGCCCTGTGGTAAATAACTATCACTGCACTGTTGGTTTCATCCTGTGTCTATTTGGCTATGTGGGCTGCAAGATCAGGAACCTCCACTCCGTACTTCAGTGCACGCTGGGCTCCGCTCCTGGTTACTCTACTGCTTCAAATCAAAGAGAAGTTACGCCGTTATGCACGTGGGGGTTTACTTTGCAGGATCAGGGCTTTGCAGGGTTACTGTAATGCAGTTATGCGGACAAACAAAACGTACTGAGAAGCAAGAGATGCAGAATCGAGCCATAAGAAAGCAAAGCAGTATTGCAAGGTTCGTTAATTGTAACTAAGAATTTTGTCCAAGTCATTTGTTAAAAAAAAAAAAAAAAAAAACCCCAAGGCAAAAAAATATTTAACAACCCCAGGCCAAAAAAAAAAAAAAACAAAAACCAAAATGTGAAACAGAATTGGGAAAAAAAAAGCAAACCCCTGGCTTTCTACGCACCTGTTTTTCTCCAATTTATTATGTACTTCCCTGGTCCCAACCCTGTAACCCAAACAGAACAAAGATAAACTCAGTGTCAGGTTTAAAACTATTGCCATTCAGCCTGTTCTTTCAGCAGTGTGTGTGTCTAGGACACAGAGGTAAATATGAGAGAACAAAAGCATCGTTGAGATACCACTGGTTTGGAACTACTTGCATATATATTCCTCCCTACGCTGTATTGAGGTAAAATCCATACTTCACACACATTTGTGACAGGGTGAGTATTACCCACGTACTGCACACTGGATCCAACAGCTAACAGCACAATGTGCCTACATAAGCTCTCAGCACCAGGAGGGGACAGTGGGTGCACGGGGCATTCACACAGCACTGGCAGCCCAGATTCTGACCCATTTCTGATCCACGCCTACACTCCAGCGGGGTGAGATTTACGCAGTTGCAAATTAAAGTTTACAGGACTTGGCAGACATATTCAAACCTCTTTCGTTTCTGCTGTGCCTGAAATAACACAGCCTAACATAAATATGGAGTGAAGTAATCCAGGAATCCTGCAGCCACTGCTCAAGGGAAAGCCAGGGTCAGCCTCTGGGGGGGATCTGGGTTGCCCCCACCTCACAGACCACAGGAAAACTTTTAGGAAAAGCCAAATGAATTTTTGCAACCATAAGTTTTACAGCAACAATGGTGATAAAGCAACAGGCGTTGAACACCTTCCACACCCAGTGCCAAGTGGTCGACAACACACCAACAGTGAGGTGAGCACCGAAGGAGGTTGATACATATTTAATAAACATCCAGGTGTTTAAAAATAAATATCTGACAGCCTTTTCCCAGGAAACATTTACAAGCTGGAAAAAACATTCTTTCTGTTCTTACACCCACCGAACACCAGCAATGCACCCCTGTGCCACCAGAACCTGCCCCAGGCCCACACACCCATCTGCAACAGAGCAAACTCTCAAGATCACAGTCTTTCCAAGAGGAATTGTATCAGCACTTTGCAAAGGTTTTCATCCTTACAAACTCTTAACTACCCAGTTTCCACCGTTCCCTCAATGAAAACTGGGATCTCTGTGTGGAGGACACCAGGAACCCTGTCTTTGCCCACAGCATCGCCCACCTCCTGAGCCCAGCACTACTCCTCAGGGTAGCAGGGCACCTATGGCTCTGTGCTGCTCCCACACAGCTCCCACTGCCACCAGCTGGGGTGTGGAGGAGCAGAGCAGTGAGCCAGCAGGCAGCACCAGCAGCACATGGCCCCAGCACCTCTGCTTTGCTGCCCAGCTGCAGGCTGACACCAAGGATGCATGGCAGCCTGAGACCACACAGATGGGCACAGTCTTTCTGGGCACAGCCCCACAGAGACATCCCTCAGTGCAGGAAGCGATGGAACGGTCATGGAAGTGGTAACAGGGATGGAAGGAAGGACTGAGCAGAGCCCTATCACCTGTCCTGCAGAAAGGAGGACTGCAGGAATACAGGAACAGCTGAGAGGCTGCTGCAAAGGCAAAGGGAACCACTCGTTCTTGCAGCCCGTAAGAAACAGCACAAGAAATAGTAGCAGGCTATGTACTGGGATACTGTACTCTGGATCCCCTAAGGAGCGCTGGCCGACCCAAGTCCATAAGAACAATGAGACAAGCACTGACCACAAGTGGTCCAGCCACGAGGCCCGTCCCAGGCAGGGACACATTCAGCAGCCATGCATCTCCTCTGGCCCCAGATGCTCTGGAGGCCCTCAGTCCCGACAACAAATAGTAGCCATAGGGAACCCTGTCCTGGGAGACAGAATTGCCCAGAACTCAACACCGCTTCCAGACACCGGGGCTGCCGCACGACCCCCCGAACACCGTAAGCAGAGATCTTCTGCCAAGACATAACACCAGGTGCTGCCTGGGGTCACACAGCCACTGTAGGACTGCTTCCTAACGCCGCTCTGGCTTGGAAAAACAAACCTGTGTACTGTGGTCAGGGGCAAAACATGAAAAACATCAAGCTGAGAAATCCTACTATCAAAAACCAAACCAACCCAGACATCCAGACATCCACTGATCTCAGCATTTCTGATCTGAAACTCCACAAAGCAGCAGCTGCTCAGGGCCCGCACTCACTCACCCTCCAGGCCTCTTCTTCTGCTCGCTGGGTTTCGCGTCCTCCGCCGGAGCCAGCTTCAGGGCACCGAGCGGCGGGGCCGGGTGCGGCACGGGCTGGGGCTGGATGGGCTGCGGGACCACGTGGTGCTGCGAGATGGCCAGGACGGGCGCCGCGTAGTGCTGCAGCTGCTTCGGGCTGCCCGCCGGCGGCGTGCCCGCCTTCCCGTCCGGCAGCAGCGCGCCCGGCGGCCGCTGGATGACCGGGGCCACGGAGGGCGGCTCCTTGGTGATGCCGGGAGCGCTCACGAGGGGCGGGTGGCGCTGAGCCAGAGGCGGGGACAGGGCGGCCTGGGCGGCGGGCTGCGGCGGGCTGGTAACCACGGGGATGGGGATGACGGAGATGGGGGCCGCCAGCGGCGGGGGCGGCGGGGGGGGCGGAGGGGCCGGGGCGGGCGGCGAGATGGGCACCAGCAGCTCACCGCGCGGCTCCTCCGGGGGCACGGCGTGGTTGGCCCGCGGCACGGCGGCCTTCCGCTGCTCCTGCTCCCGCTCCAGGCGGAGCTTCTCGTGCTTCTCATCCTCTTCTGAAAGACAAACCAGAAGACGGTCACTAACGGGGCTCCCCCGCGTCTCCCACCTACAGCCCTTACGAAGCCAGCACGGCACAGCCTGCGCTTCCAGAGAGGCCTTAGGACCAAAGCCAAGGTCACGCCGTGTCCAAAGCCCAGGCCAACCCTTCGCTCTGCCTGGCCGTCCCAGTGCAGCACGTGCTGCCCGTGCTCCGCCGCACGCAGCAGCCAGGGCAAACGCAGTGGCTGTGGGGCTGCAGCCATTCCAGACAGAGCTCCTGGGGTCCAGCAGCCCTGTTTGGTGCTGCCAAATCCCAACCCAACCTGGCTTCACACTGACCTCACACTTCTGCTTTGACTTTACTCAAGCTCCTAAAACTCACCCTCAGGGTCTATGTGTTCCTGTAGGTTTTTAGAATGCCAGACAAATTACATGCAATGTGTGGCCGGACTAGCAAAATAAACCTCATTAAACTTGATCCAGGTCTCCGGCCCTAATCATGTGAACATGGCACCAATTACATTTATTTATCCATGTCCCATGGTGCCAGGGGCCCCGGCACCCAGACACAGCCTCCAACAAACAGCTCCAACGCTGCCCAAGGAACTCACTGGGTGCCTCCAGGCACCTGCACAGAGCTGAAGAATGGCGCACCCACAGCCGCTTCATGCTGGGACCTCCTGATAGCAGCATAGAAATGCTCTGGGAAAAGCCAGGATGGCACAGGCTGGGCAAGGAGCGGTACGGCCCAGGGAGGGACAGAAACCCCCAGCACTGCTGCAGGGCTGTGACATCCCAACATGTGCATGCCGGGCACACTGCTCCATCCCTGCAGCACTGCACAGGAGCTGCAGGACGGCCTGGAGCCGCCCCAGTGCTGCCGGCAATGTTCCCCAGCATCAGCAGAGCAGCAGTGAAACTCCTAAGCATACATCATTCACTGGGCAAGCTGAGAGCACGGCAAAGTAAGGTTACACGCGTGCACCGCTGATCAGAAATATTCATGTAAATGTCTCTGCGAAGCAGGTGCAGCCCTCGGGCTGCTGACAAGCTGCCAGAGACGCCTTTGGTGCTGCAAATATTGAGCTCCCTTGAGCTGAAGGGTTCATTTCAAGAATAGCTTTAGCCAAAACCTGACACCGCTGCCTTCTGTTCTGACTTCACTGGCAAGAAGGCACTGGGCTACCAGCCCCTCCTCTGAGGGGTCAGGGTGCCTGCCAGCAGTCTGTGTGCGGGACACAAATACCTCAACGGTGCAGCAATGGTGCTACAGCATAGAGAGCTGTAGCAATCTCTGCCTTCTGTTCCCTTTGCAAACAAAGTAAAGATACCATCACAGAGACCCTCAGAGCTCTTTCTTTTCTCATAGGAACTAAGTTCCCCAGCTTTCCCTCACAGGGCTGCAAGGCTCCCACCTGCTCACATCTCAGCCCTCAGCCTCACCACCCACAAGTAACGTGGGTGACAGCAACACCAGCAGCAAGGGGAGGACACAACCAATTTTGTCACAGAAGAGCACAGAAACAGGGTCAGCAATCCCTCCCGAGCTATCTGCTCCTATTCTGGGGCTTGGCGGCCCAGGAATATACAGTGCCAGGGACTCTTAACTTCATTACCTAGCAATCTGCCAGGTTTAAAATTATCTCCTCCCTCTGCCTGTGCAGGGAGCACCTCCCACCCACAGCAGGGCTCGGGGTGACTGAGGAGATGCTGGGGCTGGCAGTGGTCAGGGTACAGCAGCTCGTACCTGGGGCCTTCTGCAAATGCACCCCATGAGCGCTCCTCTTAAGGGATTGTAATGCTATCTTTAACGCTCCTTTTTTGCACTGGGACTTAATCAATATTCATAATTTATCAGTGGCAATGCCTCTGCAAAATCAAGCAGCTTACCTCTGAGTCTGCTCAGAAAAGGCCAGATGTCCTCAGAGCACCTTACCCTCATCGACAGCTGAATGTGGGCAGAGCCACAGTGCTGACTCCCACTTGATTCCGTTTGGAGAGGCCCGAGTGTCCCTTGGGCCCCTGACTCTCTCTCTGCCATCAGCTGCAGATGCTCTGCACTTCTAACAGTGAACACTCCCACTTAAGATGAGGCAAAGCTGCTGTCTGGACCTTGGCACTCTCTTCTAAGCAGTGGCAGAAGTCAGGAGGAAAAGCTCACACAGACTGTGCTGAGAAGGGTCAAGAGCAGAGCTGAGCCCAGCTGTCCGGCAGTGCCCGTCCCGGCATTTTGCCAGGCAGTGGCTCAGCTGCAGCACACACCTTGGGAGTGACAGCAGCCACTGCACATCGCTGCTGCCAGTGCTTCTGTTGGGCCTCCCCAGCAAAGCAGGGGATGGGCAGCAGAGGGCAGAGGAGATGGAGAGCTCCCGTTCCCCATCCCACCATCACCGCATCACTACATGGAGTAGCACAAAGCCTCCAATTGCTCATTATCAAATAAATGAGGCGCCGCTTCCTCATTCCTGCATATAGCAGAGGCTGTTCTGGGCTGCACTTCCAAGAGGAGGCCAGGCGCAGCACAGGGAAAGCGCAGTCTGAATCAGGGCTGAGTCATCCAAATGTTGCTGACATAAGAGGATACGGCAGGGAACAGCCGCGGCGCTTCCCAGTGCCTGGAAACGAGCCGGAGTGCCGGCACACGGCGGGCCCTGATCTGCACGCCTCTCATCTGCACATGACGTCAGCAGCATCCACACAGCTCCCGGCTGTGCGAGCAGCGCGCTGCCCCCCGCCCCACCCCGGCACAGGGAGCCCCGCACCCCAAGCCCTCCCCAGTCTCACCAGCTGCTGCTCACTGGGAGCCGAGCCTGGCTGTCAGCCCGTGTCGCGGCGCCTTGCTGTCCTTCCTAACACACACTGCATCCTTACGGAAAGGTGAAGCCGTATGTTAGGAGTGTGCTGGGGATGGGAAACGCTTTCCGATGGGGGCCCGGAGCTGTGGCACATCTCTGCAAGCAGAGCCATCCCTCCTGCGACCTGTGTCCCAGTATTAAACACCTCCGGGCCCGTGCTGAGCCACCTCACCAACGTCATGCACACTTCCCACACCTTCTCTGCAGGTGTCACCATTCTCTGTGAACAACAACTTCGAATCTCCATTTTCTCAGCCAGATGACTATGACACGCTTATGTCCTATCAGCAAGAGCAAAGCAAAATCAGCCTTCACGCAAACCATGCCTCTGTAACACCAACCAACGCTGACATCAGTGGGATGGGCCTATCTGCAGCTCCCAGAAACCACAGTGACCCCAGCACCCAAACCTGAGACAAACCAGAGTGACGAGATGACCTTCTTGCCCAGTAAGGGACGCAGGGCACGGACACGCTGTGCTCCTGCCAGGGAGAGAGCCTTTCCCTCCACCAAAGCTATGGAGGAACATGGGAAGGTTGGGAAGGCCTCAAGAAATCTCGTGGCCTGCCTTCTAAGCCCCAAACAAGAAGCAACCATCCCTAAACAACACAGATGGTTCTCAAAGCAACAACTGCTCACACCTCCATGGACAGTTTATATCATGCTTAAGTTTGATATTCCATGTTTAACCGAAACCCTTTCAGTCTCAGTGGGTCCACACAGATGCACTTCAGTGACATTTCTTAGATGGGAGAAGAAAGAAATCAGGTACACTTAGCAAGGGAAACAAAAATGGATCAGGACTGCCAGAAAACCAATCCCACCTCAGCCAGCACCCCCTGCCCGGGCTGCCTGCCCACGGGCTATGTGCAGCTCCACGGGCAGCTCTGCAGCCAACTGGGCTGCTCTGCCGTCTGCACAGCTTCACCTGGACGCGTGGTCACTGAGCTCTGCTGATGCAAGGTGCTGTCTCAGGGCTTTTCTGCCAGGCATCAGCATTTTTAAGAAGCAGTAAGTAATGTATTCTGATGAGCAGTTATTTTCAAGCTGAGCAGCTTCTGTGGTCAGAGCAGGACATGGCACTGAGGGCAGCCAGGACCCGGTCCCATCTTCTACAGGGCGCACAAAAGAAACCATGAAGAACCACTACCTCCCTTCCCAAGCCTGGGACGGCTCCAAAGTCTGCAGACACAGAACAATGGTGTGCTTTTAGTGTGCCTGTCAGAAAAGAGTGGTAAACCCATATTCTTGACAGGAAACAGAGCCCAGGTGCCTGCTGCCCCTGCTGTGCCCACAGAGCAGAGCAGAGCTGAGCCTTGTGGGTGTGAGCGGAGCGCTGAGCTCAGAGCTGCGTGGAACACTGCTGGCACTCTGCACCAACTGGAGCCAAAGCCGATACGCGCTGGGTGACTTTGTGCCACCCACTGAATCACGGCAAAACCAGATCCCTGCAGTAACCACAGGGCCTCGCTGGTCTGGAGCTCATGTAACGTTTCTGGGTTCTCATGACCAGGACAGTGCAGGGCTTTTGTGCCAGGGCTGTGCAGGAGCCGTTGTCACGGGATGCTCTCACTCACCAGCTTGCTTCAGCGGAATGATGGAAAACAGAAATCTACCCTTCAAAATCCTATTTCCACAATTGAGAAAAGATAAATTGAACAGTATCTGCTCATCAAGTCATGATCCATGTGCGCAGGAGCCAGAAGCCTTTGCCCATCACCCCTCAACAGTACCAGCACCGTTACCTACACCAGCTCCATGTCTGCAGGGATGTCAGTGCAGTTGCAGTGCCACAGTTCCCCAGTGCTGACTTTCTTCCAGATTCCATGTATGGTCTCCCCTATGGAGGAGTCAAAGCTGGCTATGTCCTCCCACAGATTACATCATCACCACAGCTCTGCCCATCTCCATAACCAATCTCTGAACCTACAGCATCTCCCAGGCACTAAACACGCCTTCCTCACCCAAAACGCACGATCCAGGTTTGCTCGGCTCGCTGCAAATAGATGAGAGGCCATCCCACATCACAGCCAGGCCTGCAGCACATCGCCACCAGTGAGGTGCTCCTGCTGGGCACAGGACTCTCTGAAGAAGACACCTGACCAGAGCACCAACACTAACACAGACTTGCTGCCAGGCCCTCCCAGAACTTCTTCCGCAGCACTGTGACCAACCAGCATGCGGGTCAGCAGAACCAGGGAATGCTTTGTGCTGCACTGAGAAAAGTGAGAGTATTTGGAGCTGCACAAACATTCAGGGATCGGTCTGGAGACTTCAGGAATTACCCAGTGCTCTGCAGATGCACAGGGCAACCCAGCACTTGCCTGCAGCCCCTATGGCACTACTGCCATCCCTACCACCAGCAACGGGGGGAGCAGCCTCTAACCTTCAGCACAGCCAATGCTGCAAATCAGACAGCAATCCAGGCGCAGAGAGCAGGAAAGAAGAAAAAGACACCCTGAGTGCATATTTTGGCATCTTCAGGGGCTGTTCTGGGCCGAACCAATGGGAAATCCCCCAAGCACACACGGCAGGGGACATCCCACCCAACCCAGGTGTGCCACCAGCAGTGACACAGGATGGGACAGAAACCCTGCGCACCTCTGGGTCACTGCCCATGCTGCAAAGTTTGAGGAAAACGAAACGTTTATCAACATGGGCAGGAGCAAAGCAGAGAGCACAGCAGAGAAGTATATACGGGAAGAAAAAATAAGAGAACAAATACGAGTTGCTTGTGGTTACATTTTTGGGGGGGATATGTTTTTCTTCGATTATAAAATGTTAACCTCAATTCGGGACTATGAGACACCCGCTAATTCACATCCGGAGTTTGCAAATAACAGACAAAGGAGCTCTGGATTTGCGCGTGTGTGCGCGCAGCAGAACAGCGGGGCCGCAGGCAGCGCGGTGACAACGCACGAACGGCCTTTCTGCCGCATCGCCCCGCGCTGACGATGAGTCACGCAGGAACAAAGAGCGGCTCCGCGCTCGCGGGGCTCCGGGGGGGGAAGCGGCGGCCGCCCCCCCCCCCCCCAACACGGCCACGGGGGGGGGGCGGCCGCCGCTCCCCGCGGGAAACCGGGGCGTGGCGCGGCACCGCGCACGTGGAAGGAGGGCGGGACCGATCACGTCACCCACCCCGCCCCTCCCACCGGGGCGCGCCGCCGCGCTCTTTGCGTGTCCCCGCGCGGCGGGGCGGGGGCGGCCTCGCGTTTCCCCCAGCGCCCGCCGCACCCCCCCCCCGACATCCCCGTTCCGCGCCGCTTCGACCCCCGCCCGCCCCCCGGCTGTCGCCCCCGCTCTCACCACGTGCGCTCTGCTGCTGCTGCGCCTGCCACTCGAGGAAGCGGGCCGCCTCCAGCAGCGTCTCGATGCTCATGGCGCGGGGCCCCCGGCTGCCGCCCGCCGCCTCTCCCGCCCGCGCCGCCCCGCCCCGCCCCGCGGCTCGCCCCGACGGCGGCGGCGGCGGCAGCAGGAGCAGCAGCAGCGCTGGCGACAAGATGGCGGGCGGCAACAGAAACACAACAGGCGGGCGCTGGCGCGGCCCCGCTACTACGCGGCGGCCGG